GCATACCTAATATCGATAGTATGCCTGTATTTTAATACAGTATTAATTAATAGTTTTAAAACAAATTTGTGTTCAATAGAGTCGGAGTTAAAGTCAATAAAAGCTGGTGTAAAGAAATGGTCGACAATAGAGAGAAATGAATTGATATACGTTTGGCATCACTCGGAGGGGGCGGACCCAGAACAGTACCCTGATGACTTTCTAAATAAATATGGCCCAAAATTGACCGCGATAGATTCGTATTTGCAAATATGTTACGCTAACTTTGAGGTAATTTAATGGTTTTATTTCATATTAATTGTAAATTATTATATTAATCGTTTTGTTATTATTATTACTTGTAATGAATAGTGTTTGAACGATAACGGAGTGGATCTAGAACATTTTCACCACGTCCATACGACCCTGATACCATATGTGGCCACAATGAAAGTTGAGTTGAGCGTAAATTTTGATGATAGAAAATGTCCCGTAACCAGCGGCACAATGAGCGTATTTGTGCTTGGTTATCAAATGACCACCATGCCTGTTATCATGCACAAGTTTTCGCCTGTTCTAGATTTTCTTGTGTTTGACACAGGTATCTCGTTTTTAGGCACATTTGTGGTTCAGGCTATTTATATACCAGTTCAACATGATAAGTGTCTCATTCTAATGGTGCCGTACGGTCGAGCTAGCCCATTCAATTGGATATATAATGTCGTATTTTATCTATTCTTGACCGAACAGGTAATTTATTAAATTTGTAACATTTTTAAACCAACTATGTAAGTTGTAAGTAGTTTATCTAATATTATTTAAATCAACTATACATGCAATAAAATAATTAATTATAATGTATTAATAATTAAATATTATTTTTAATTAGTTTAACAGCGACATGGTCATTTCAATAAACCTTCAAAGACAAAAGCGTCCGATATTTACTCGCAATGATGAGGCTATCATAAAGTATATACGTTTTCGTCAGCAGTTTTTTACAAAATAAGCGTTTGGTAAATATAAAACTACATTAAATGTAAATCCAATTATTGTGCCCTATTTAAAAATAATATTGTACTATTGAATATTTTAGAAATAATCATAATTTTAAAATGATATCTTTTTATAAATATTTTATATAATACATAAAATGAAATATAAAATAAAATATAAAATATATTATATATTAACACAACTTATAAAATAGTAATTTACTTTTTAATGTAGATATAAACATTAATTGAATTTCATAATTACATTCATAATTCGTTCCATTAAATTGTACTTTAAGTAAAATTTTACATTTCAAATGTATGTTTTAATAAAATTTATGATTACTATGAAAAGTAATTTATTAAATATACTATCATTATCTAAGTTAATGTATTTGATTATTTTTCTTGCTATGTTAACAACACAATAAAAAATATGTCACATTGTAATAAATCATCATGATTGCATATATTTTAATACATTAGGTAATTTTTGAAATTATAAATAATATATATTTAATAGAAATTAACATTCTCACGGTACAATACTGTATAGTAAAATTATGTGATATTACAATATTTTATAATCATCTATTAAAAATTATAAAACCACATTTAATATAAATCCAATTATGGGGCTTTATTTAAATATAATTAAAGTATATTCTAGAAACCACATTATATTAAAAATATGTGATATAACAATATTTTATAATATTATTTTGAAAATTATAAAACCAAATTTAATACAAATTTAATTACTTATAAATAATTGAAGTATATTCTACTGTAGAAACAACATTAATTTTAAATAAACCTAACTTGAAAAATATTTAATATATCTCATTATATATTTAATATATCATAAACTTATTTCATATATAAACACCAAATAAGAGTATATTAAACATCAAACAATTGTTTGCCATCAAAATCCAAAACACAATAATAAGTCAATTCAAGTCATGTCTGAAAACATATCGGAGACGAAGAGTGGGAAAAGCGGTCCATCGGTCCTGAAATCAAATGAATTACTGCCCAAAAAATTGCGAATACAATCGGATGAAAATCAATTGTATAGAATATGCTTATCTCTATTCATACACAAAATACCAACAGAACGGCCATGGTACTATTCGCCCACAGGCACCGCTATAGTCTACTCGTTGACCGTGTTGTTTTGTATAATTGGCATTATCAATGATGGTCAAAGCGAAACAATTGTCGTAGTATTTGGCGATTTCTCGCATATGATTGGCGCCGGTGTTCACATGAAGATGGTTATAATGATTGGCATTTGGTTTTGTATTGTCTGTCAATTGATATTCAGATATAACTATGTCAATAACATTGGACCTTCATTTTTACGGGTATTTCAAATGCTCTCGGGTTTAACAACCCCTCAGAGTGTGGGCCTATCGGACCGCCAATCTCTCTATAGGTTTGTTAAAACAGCGGCAAAAATTTTCAAAATCAATCACTTTATCTGCAATTATATGTCACAATACTATGGTTTGTTATGTTTGTTACCATACATATTGTATAAACCAATAGTTACAACATTGGTATTTGGTGTACCAAATGCTATGTTGTTTACTTTGGTTACTTTCAATGCGATCAATTGCTTATCATGGTCATTTATATATTATGGCCGCTTATCTAAAAAGCAAGATTCACGCAATTAACACCAAAATAAAATCAACAAAAACTATACGCAATTTAAAGCCAATAATCGGATCATTTAATAGCATTTATGTTGAGATTAATCAATACAACACTACATATTGGTCCAAATATTTACTATCGGTTTGGCTGACACTAGGTTTGGGTGTTGTGTTCCTAATGTACACTATTATTTGGATCGAGATGATATTTTTAATCAGATTACTACTAATCTATGGCTTTATGCTTTACTGTGGTGGTTTTATTGATATTATAATTACTGTATCGTCGGTTACTTCAACCGCTAATAAATCATATATACTATTGAACACTTGTATTGTCAAAATCAGGTAAAATTGTATACATAAATAAATTGCAATTATCATGATGAACAATTATTTTTAATTGATTACTCCATTGTTAGGGAACATAATTAAATTATAAAATGATTTTTTGTTTGACAAGGTTTAAACATTATTTAACTTAAACTTAACAACAAATTTATTTTAATTATTTTTAAAATTATGTTTAAAATATAATGACAATTATGTAATTTTTTTAATTATTTTAATCAAATGTTTTATAATTGAAAAATAAAGTTTGCGTATAATGGTAACACAGTGATGTTTTGAAATATGTATTATTTGATTTGGCGGTACTGTCCACCCGGGAGTTATTGTTATTAAATAAAAGTACACTTAAAACTTTTATAATTGTTTAAAGTAAAGTTTTAATAATAGTATCAATAAATATTTCTAATAGTCTCGGAGTTCATATCATTAAAAATTTTAATAAAAAATTGTTAAATACAAACATTTTATATTTCAAGCAACTTCAAAAATACTACGCCTAAGAAACCAATTATCTAAATTTTCAAAAGATTTTAATCAATTCATTAGAAATAAGTGAAATATTAATATAAATCGAAAGTTTCAAACCTCTGAACACCTAAAATAATTAATGCGAAAAAGTGACCAACACCAAAAACCAACATTGTTTGTTGACAAACGATTGATTAACGACGATAACTAAATTTAAATATCAATAAAATTATTATGATGCAATAGAAAAATGTTGTGCTAAATTAAAAATTACCTTAATCTTACATTGAAAATTATTTTCTACCGACCCAGCTGCGTTAATCTTAGAACTAACATTATACAATAATTTTAATGTTGAATTAATTTTACTATTTACACTAGATGCAATTAGTATGATACACACGAACAGGGTTGATGCCATAATAACGCCCATGCCAAATAATGATTTTGATAAAATGTCCATGTCCATTGATTGAAACAGTAGCACATAAATGCCAAACGAGCCAACGTTGCCCAATACGGCCCAAATAACGAGAAAATATTTTGACCAATAGGTGGCGTTATATTTATTAATTTCGGCATAGATTGAATTCAATGAATAAATAATTTTTGTGACTAATTCTCGACTGAATTTATAGCTAGGTCTTTTGTCTTTTATTATAAGTTTATTATTAATAATTTCGATTTTATATTTTAATAAATGACACATGATAAATAAATGGATTAATGTGTATAGCGTTAGACCATAAGCATAATATGCGGCCAAACTGGTCAATAAACTATGAAATATACCATAAGTGATTGTCTCTATAATTGTGCATGTTAGCGCATAGGGCATTAAGCAGGCAAAACCTATTAATGGCATTATACGCTTAACAATTAGTTGACCATAATAAAATAATAATCGTGTTATTTTGGCTAATTTACGTGCATAATTGACATCGTAAATACCAATTTCTGCCGGCGTTATATTGCCTGATAGCATATCGAAAATGCGCAAAAATGTTGCCCTAACACCACGTTTATAGTTATAATAGTAAATCAATTGAAACAATAGGTTAGTCAGTGTCCATAGAGATAACGCTATGTTTAGCCGATTTGTGGTTCCCATAAGGTATGGAAAATCGCCAAAAATAATAAATAGTTTGCGATTTTTGCGATCAAACAGAAGTGATATCGCGGAACGTATGGTAAATAATAGTAGTGTTAATGTCATTAGTATTGGATGATTTATCCAGCTCCTTTTGGCATCAACATCATGCTTCCAATTGTATAATCCAATGAGGTACAATTGATCGCTGGCTAATTTTGTGATCAATGTATTAGGCAATTTATTTTCTGAGTCCATTGTGTAGTTTTAAATATAAATACTGTAGTTAGATATTGATCAACATATTAAATGCTATTAAGTTAATTTACAAAATAATTGTATTAATATAATATTGCATATTGCTGGCATATTACGTGCAATAAAACTTATTGTATTTGTGTAAATAACCTGTATCATCATAACTTGAACATAGACCAATATTTGTACTATTGTGTAATTTTATTGCATTAATCTTTATTAATGTATAACAATTATTTTACAAATAATATTTCTATAGTAATTATTGATATTATATGCTATTAGGTAATTTGTAAAATAATTAATTTAATGTATTTTGCTGGCATATTAAGTGCAATAAAACTTATTCTATATGGGCAACAAAAATGTAACAGTATAATTTAAACATAAAACTATTTTTGATTATTGTATAACTTTCATTTAGTAAATTAATTTTTATTGATGAATAACAATTATTTTTTAATAATGTTTGTTTAATAAATTATATTTTTAATTAATTACAAACAGAATAATTACAGATGTAAAATTTATAAACTTTATTTTGTAATGTTTATAATTTAATAATTACATGTATTTTATTAATCTTTGAATTATAAATCAATTTTGGCATAACCACTTAGTTAAAATAATTATAAAATAATAACATTTAAAAGATTTAAAATTACTTGATTATTTAACATTTTTGCTAATTTTGTTAATGTTCATTTTATTAAATATAACAATTATTTTAATGCTTATTTTTTAATTATTATAATATACACAACAATTGACAAATATATATTTATTTATTCTATAATAAACATCAATAATTATTATTTAGTATAGAATAATAATTTTATAGTAAGTATATTTTTATTCAATGTTAATTATTATTCGTATTATAATTAAACAAAATTAAAAATTATAAATAATATAATTTTGACGGCGGATTTTATTGCCCAGTATAAATAAATATTACATTAGAAGGA